TTTAGGAATAGGTGCTTACATATTTACTGAATTTAATAAAAGTTGGAATGTTAATGTGTGAGTTTCAATAACTAAAAAAATGTATGTCGCAAGTGATTTCTTACCATCTTACCGATAGGTAGATGATCCAAAAATATTGCCCGATAAACTTCTGACGCTTTGGTACGAGTAAAGTTGACCTACCCGCAAGACCTGTATCTGGGGTTTATCCAATGTAATGTGTGGTACGTCGGTCTTTTTTACCGTTTAAATAATGACCTACAGCAATGGAAGCCAAAGATTCTACTGGTTTGATTGCGGGAACCACTCTAACTAATTTGCATGCACCGACTTGAGGAGTTCTTACTTCATTCCGCGGACAACCCCAAGCAGATATCACTAAAATTACCATCCTCATCACTTATAAGCATCCTTTTTTACTGAAATGGACAACAGTTGCAAAATATGTACAACTACATCAGCCTCGAGAAGTCCCAGGCTTCCCTTATTTGTAAAAATAGGCCTTTGGAACCTAATTCATTGGCACATAGAAGATAGTTTAAACCTTCCACACCCCCAAAACTGGCTGTAATTCAACAAAACCGGTAGACCCTTTCGGCCGTAGTTTCTTTCGACCTGAGTTCGTAGTGGCTTGCGATTTCCCTTACCACACAGCCACAGCTGCCGGTCAAGCACCTTCAAATAGGTTGTGCGACAATGCCTGCTTGAGGCCAAGCTAATGCGAGTCCAAGCGTATAGTTATGTGTAAGTACTTATGTACATCTTCCAGTTCCTTATCGCAGGAGAAAGTAGTGTAGTGGGTCTGCCTGAGTCACATCACTCCGTTCTTTTCACTGTTCTAAGGATGATAATTGTACTCTCCGGGTGACAACTCTCTGGGTTAAATAGTATAGTGAAAAACTCAATTTCTGATGACCGATGATGACTTATCCTATGGTATACTTGTTGTTGTTGTTGTAGCGGCAGTGATCAACCCCCCAGGTTACGTCATGAATCATCATATTCATCCTCCGGCTCTGCATGAATGAGGCGGAGAAAGTGGGCGGAGTTGATTGGCACGGTCCAGAGCGCCTCCAGTGCCAGGGTCATAAGGTTGGAGACGCATGTGAAGAGATGATGGGTGTTGTGAGAACTTTCCCACATGCGGGGCAGGTGTTTTCCACTTCTGTGTTCAGCCGAGAGAGGTAGCTATTTAGACGGTGGCACCACCCAAACGGAGTTGGACGTTTCATTTCACAACATGGTGTTATGGTCTTTAATCGCCACCATCTAGCTTTCTTCGTACGTAGAGCTGCGTTCTGACATGTTTGCAGATTTTTTCACTGCGTGTCATTCTTCCCCGCTGTCCACACTGGCGCTGCGTAGTTTGCCACAGACCGGCCGATTGCCTTGTAAGTTGCGAGCAGGCTTTATTTATCGGCTCCCCAGGTGCTGCCGACTTTTGCACTTTGCTCCTGGCCCGTAGTTTGTTTCAAGTGGCTAAGACGTGTGCGGAAAAGGACAAAAAGCTTTCGAACTTCACTCCCATAATTTCGGGGTGATTAGTCGTCGGTATTTTCGCGCCATCGACGAAGACGTCCAGTTCAAGCCTGATCTCCTTGGGCCCTTTTTAATCCTACGCGGCTTGACTGACGGCCGCACAGATAGCTGGTTATCCACCGCTTCGTCCGAGCTGAAAGCGAAGAGTCCAGGACGTCTTAGCAGAGGGTCGCGTGGTTCATCGTGTCGAATACCTTCGACAGGTAAACTGCGACTAGGGCCGTCCTATCTCAGGGGCGACGTTGGTTCAGACTCGCTAGTCTGTGTGATGTCGTTCAAAGCTATGGTCGTGCTATGCACTGTCCTGCAGCCATGCTGGTGTTCGGCTAACTTCAGATGCTTCGTCAGGCAAGGGAAGACTAGTGCTTCCATGATTTTTGCCACTGCGGATAGGAGGGAGATGGGTCTGTATCAGTCTCCTACGTCCACCTTCTTCGNTAGGGAAGCCTAGTGCTTCCATGATTTTTGCCACTGGGGATAGGAGGGAGATGGGTCTGTATCAGTCTCCTACGTCCACCTTCTTCGCTGGCTTGAGAAAGGGAATGATCCTACACATTTTCTAGATCTCGGAGATAATCAGGGTGGACAGTAACAAGTTAAAAGCGGCGGTCATGTACCCTTGCTCAACTTTTATGCTGTTACAATAACATTGACAATACATCTCTCCTGCTTACGGAAATGGAGTAGAGATGACAACTCAGCCTTTTGGAATCTCTCCTATATCTAAGTAAGAAAAGAAGACTAAACACCTTTTCCAAGTTTTAACAGACGCCACATATGCATTTCATTAAGCTCGTACAAATGTTTATTAATCACATTTACTTACATACATGCGTGTTATAATACAAATAGCTGCAATAATGCTTTAATAAATTAATTAAATAAATCCAGTTCTTTTAAGTTATCCCTTCGAGACGCATCACATTTTTTATTTATTTTTTTTTGTTGAATTGGAATAACATTTTTACTTTGAGTAGCCGGTAAGCGCTATAAATCAGTTCGGTGTTTTCGTTTTTAATAAAGTTCATTACTACAGAACACGTTTTTAATAAAAAATTAGTAATTATTATCCTTCGTCGGTAGGCGATTTAAGTAGGTAGACGTGTTCAGCAAACATCTACATACATATGTATGAAGTAGAATTAGAATGGTTTGCAAAAAACTCTAAAAAAGGATTTTAAACAACAAAATATTAGCACCGTGCAATACATTAAAGTTAATTTCACTTCATTAAAAATCTTGATAAACATTTTTGCCGAATATCAGCATCGTTCGGGTTGATCTTGATAATATTTCCTTTCAACCACCTCAAACAGGCCAAAACTTTAAAGCAATCAAGGGCATACTAACACCTGTTACAATACTCGAAATTAAGTTTACACTATGATTGTCTAGTATGCGCAAACCGCTGATTTGACGCACGCCCGCACCGGGACACTCAACAATTTTGCCTTCCTTATCGATGCCCGAGTACTGCATTGTAGCGCCAAGTATTGAATCCACCAGCGAGCCAAACAATCCACCAATGCCACCGAATATGACAAGAGGCCACTGTGGCGGACTAGTAAGTAATGCATGAGCGTCAACAGTGTAGCGTACAGTTAAATAGTAAACGAACCCTACTAGCACACCACCCAAGACACTAGCGACAAGTCCTTGTAACGAAACGCCACCGTTAGTGCCCCGCGGTACACGGCGACGTGTGGTAATGAGAAATGGTTGCCTTTTAGATAATACACTGCCCAGTTCACTTGCCCATGTATCGCCATTGCAGCATGCGAAAGCGCCTGCAGAAGTGTGTGACGTTAATAGGTGTGGCTGATAAGCACTTTGGCGATAAAATCACTTACTCATAACTGCTACGCCCAACCAGCTGGAGCGATACTCCTTTGTAAAGTCGATGGGACGCTCACAACTGCCGCAATCTATGAGATATAATATAGCCAGCTGTGTAGCCATTCCGCCATTGCATAAAACCTGTACCCAGTTGCGTTGGCCTTCGCCTATGAGTTAATTGCTAACTAGATTAGAGTAATTAAAAGCATTTTTCTCCCATTTTACGCACCCTCTTTAAAATCCTTTTCAAATTTCCGTTTTAAATGTGCGCGGAACTTGGTCGCACGCGAAGAGCTGAAAAAGAATGCCGCCAAGCTTGCGAAGAATGCATGATTTGCTATGGATAAGATGAATGCGAAGAGTATGCCCAATACAGCACCCGATTTGTTAACCGATTTCCTGCGTAGCGCAATCATCATAAGCGCCAGGGGCGCCAAAGTTGAAAATAGCCATCTTGTCGGCGGTATCACAGGGGGCTCTGCAAAGAGCAAAGGTGCTGTAAGTCCGCTTATCGAAAATTATTTATGAGCATGTATTAATTTACCTTCGAATTCATTAGAGTGCCAAAATTTCGAAAAGGCCAAATTACCCAGCCACATAAAAAGGGATAGTGGTATGGAAAGACTGCAAAATATCACCGGCAACCAGGCGTGGATATCCATCTTGCGCACATAAACTTTAATTCAGTATATCAGCAATGAAAACAGGATTGTGAATATTCCAAGTTTTTGGATAGCGGAATGCACTTTCTTAACTGGACTTTTTCACAGAAGCAAGAAAAAACAGTGGAAAGTAAACATCAAAACAAAAAAAGAAAGTGTGTTCTTCTTTTTNAACTTTTTCACTGAACCAAGAAAAATCAGTGGAAAGTAAACATCAAAACAAAAAAAGAAAGTGTGTTCTTCTTTTTGTTTGCCTAAAGTTCACAATCAAAGCGACTGTTCACGGTTACCTTATTTCACCTCCAAATCGCTATGGTTACGCCGAGTTTACATAAGGCAATTCGGGACAATACTATTGGGAATATGTATTAGTTGTCAAATTGTCGTGCAAATTGGGGCATGCCTTCTCTTTTCATCCAATCAAAAAACGTACTAGGGTAAAAGAGAAGGCACGCTTCTGTTGCGCACTTTCGCTACAATTATAACGAGTTGTCCCTTCTTATTATCAACGTTCTTTGACGTGACCGAATTGTACAAATTACTATTCAATTCACTGCCTTCGAAAAAGTGTGAATGTATTGCTATTATCTTGGCNTAAAAGAGAAGGCACGCCTCTGTTGCGCACTTTCGCTACAATTATAACGAGTTGTCCCTTCTTATTATCAACGTTATTTGACGTGACCGAATTGTACAAATTACTATTCAATTCACTGCCTTCGAAAAAGTGTGAATGTATTGCTATTATCTTGGCAAAATTGTCTCAGTAAACGCCGGGTTATTTACCAGACCAAATCGTTCCAAATCCATTAATTATAGTTTAAATATAAAAGACCTGATGCTTTGGCTTGATGCATTTCTGAAGGCACCCTACCTTATTCTCTGAATTTTGTTACTGGCTAATTTTGACTTGCATTTGCTAGCGAACAGAGCTTTTATCAGCTGAAAATGGTGAAATGTAGTACCGCCAAACGCAAAATGCAACCATGCGTTACGAATGTCAACTAAACAGAAGAAAAACACGTTAAACAAATGAAATTGCAGGCGGCCGGCAGAATTTCCTAGCAACGAAAAAACAGTCCGATTTGTAGAAATTTTCAGGCACAATTTTAAAATAAATCGCTCGCTGGAAAAATATTTGTGAAAAATGGCAGATGGCGATAAGATTGAAGTGCGTGATATAACACGTATTGAACGCATTGGCGCGCACTCGCATATACGCGGTCTGGGTCTGGACGATGTGCTGGAAGCGCGTGCTGTATCACAAGGCATGGTGGGTCAGAAGGATGCTCGCCGCGCTGCCGGTGTTGTAGTGCAAATGGTGCGTGAAGGTAAAATCGCTGGACGTTGCATATTGCTCGCTGGTGAGCCAAGTACTGGTAAGACAGCAATTGCAGTAGGTATGGCACAAGCGCTCGGAACAGAGACACCATTCACCAGCATGTCTGGTTCGGAAATATACTCGCTGGAGATGAGCAAAACAGAAGCTCTCTCGCAGGCGCTGCGCAAGAGCATTGGTGTGCGCATTAAAGAGGAGACTGAGATTATTGAGGGTGAGGTAGTTGAAATCCAAATTGATCGGCCAGCAACTGGCACGGGTCAAAAGATTGGAAAGGTATGTTTGTGTTTGCTATGATGCTCGTTTGGTTGGTTTACATTTTTCCTATTATAGGTTACTCTGAAAACCACAGAAATGGAGACAAACTACGATTTGGGCAATAAGATTATCGAATGTTTTATGAAGGAGAAAATTCAAGCAGGCGATGTTATAACAATCGATAAAGCTTCGGGCAAGGTAACCAAATTGGGTCGTAGTTTTACACGAGCACGCGATTATGATGCCACCGGGGCACAAACGCGCTTCGTGCAGTGCCCTGAAGGTGAACTACAGAAGCGCAAGGAAGTCGTGCATACCGTGACTCTACATGAGATCGATGTCATCAACAGTCGTACACATGGCTTCCTCGCACTATTCTCAGGTGACACAGGGGAAATCAAGCAAGAAATACGCGATCAAATAAACAATAAAGTGCTCGAGTGGCGGGAAGAGGGCAAAGCTGAAATAAATCCAGGTGTACTCTTCATCGATGAAGTACACATGCTGGATATCGAGTGCTTCTCCTATCTCAATCGTGCGCTCGAATCCGACATGGCACCCGTAGTTGTGATGGCCACCAATCGCGGTATCACGCGCATACGCGGCACCAACTATCGCAGCCCACATGGCATACCGATCGATTTATTAGATCGTATGATTATCATACGTACAGTACCCTATTCGGAGAAGGAAGTTAAAGAAATATTAAAAATTCGTTGCGAAGAAGAAGATTGTCTCATGCATCCGGATGCGTTGACCATTTTAACGCGCATTGCCACTGACACTAGTCTACGTTATGCGATACAATTGATTACCACAGCGAATTTAGTGTGCCGACGACGCAAAGCCACAGAGGTAACCACTGAGGACGTGAAGAAAGTTTACTCATTGTTCTTGGATGAGAATCGCTCGAGTCAAATATTGAAGGAGTATCAAGATGAATATATGTTTAATGAGATACAGGATACTAACGAGTGTGAAGTTGTGACAAAACGAGAAGACGCTGTTGGTGGTGATGATCAACCAATGGAACACTAAATTATAGTGAAAGAAAGATGGGAATTTTAATGAAGTCTACTTGCATACATTCGAGCACACTTGAACTTTGAGTTAAATTAAAAAAAAAGCACTGCATTGTTTTATGATAATAAAAATATGTAGTCTAGAAAGGCTTTCAATAGATGGTTTGGTTAGGGGCTATGACTGTTATGAAGGCACATAACAACAGTGAAATTTCACGCCTATCAATTTCCCAAAGTCAAATAAGTAAGTAATACAATTTTTTGGTGTATTAGAAGAAAATTGGCTTATTTATTTTACGAATTGATCCAATGTTAATCCCATTTTTATCTTAAAAAACCGTTCACAGTTTGGTGCATTCATACATTTCATATGTTTGTATGTAAGTACGAGTATTATGTGATCGGAAAGTAATAAACAGTTCAGATATATTTCTTAGTTGGTTAATTGAAGTCAACGATTGTAAATATTGTATATTTTACTATGCTTCTCCACTGACGTTCAACAACTACACTAATTGCTTAATTAAAGAGTTTGGTTGCATTGAAACTTTTAATAATTATTATTCGAATACATGGTTTTTTTATTCAGAAAATTAAGTATTTAACTTATGCAAGAAAACGTCTATTTTCGTCAGCTAAAAAATATATTTATGTATAAACTATTAGGCGTGCCTGAGATTTGTATAATATAAAATAATTCAATGTGTTATAATAGACTTTTACTGACTAGAAGGATGTGCCACTGTCAAATACAAAAAAATACTATTCTTTAAAATTATACAGCTTTTCTGACAATGATATCGGAAAAAATTGCCTCAAGTTTAAAATATTGCTAGTAATAAGCTTCTTGCATTTTGGTGAAAACCACTTACTGGAAATTAAACCAGCTGATTTTTTAATACTTAAGTTAACAGAACCAAGGTAGGCAGCCAATGCGCTTATATAAAAAACGAAATTAATATTTAGCACAGTATAATATTTAGAAGCTTATAAAAATATGCGTGTCTCACTTTTTCGAATTNGAAACCACTTACTGGAAATTAAACCAGCTGATTTTTTAATACTTAAGTTAACAGAACCAAGGTAGGCAGCCAATGCGCTTATATAAAAAACAAAATTAATATTGAGCACACTATAATATTTAGAAGCTTATAAAAATATGCGTGTCTCACTTTTTCGAATTTCACTTTTGTCAACAGCCTTTTTTCTTTGCAGAATTTATGTGGGCTATCACAGAATCCATCGTAGTTAGATTTTTCGTAAAATCTACGATATGCGATCACCGGATCCGAATTGCTACGGCATGATGGCATTTTCGTAGATTTCACGAAAAATCGGACTGCGATGGATTCTGTGATATCCCTGTAAATAATATGCTTGCAGTAACAATTACAGCACAATTTCAATGCCTCACCTATTCATAAGTACATTTACTAATCTCTCTTGGCATCATTTGTCTCCGCCACTGTGGGCGAGAGTGTTGTTGCACGGCCAAAAGTATTATCCTGCTCACGTCTCTTAGCTGTTCGCTCAAAATATTTAAATGCTTGATAGAAAATCGTCCAACCTATAACAGCCACGAAAACAAAATAATTGACTGATCCATATGCCTTGATCCAACGCGGATAACTGAGCAGAATAAATGGTGTCATACACCAGCCGATATAGAAGAGATCGTACAATTTTTGGACACAGTATTTCAGAGCGGGATAGACAAATGGCGGACTAAAGATGTCAGCATACACATCGATTTTGCTCTTAGCCCAAACGCTGGCAAACTGCAACAATGAATATAGAAAATCAATCAACGTATGAAATACGCATGTATTAAAATGCTCTTATACTTACTTGCTTCTCCACTGTCACAGTCATGTACTCATTGAGGAATGCCATGTAATAGCCGCTGTGGAAACCGTGCCATACGGCCAAGAAACCCAAAGCAGCAGCATAGCTGATCGTGCGATTGTTTAGAAACTTCAAACGCTTATAAACATATTGTCCAACCCATTGATTTGTGTTCACGTTAAATGAGTGCACATAATGCTGCATAGAATAGCCAGTTTCTAATATGAAGAGGTTTACGTTCGAGCAGCCGGACCAATCGTTTTCGCCATTCTCCTTCTTGCCCTTATAAGAGATGCCTATAAAATGTATTACTATAAGGGCACATCTTTTAAAAGTAACGTTACTCACCCAAAATCATGAGCGCACCCTCTGTCAGCAGCCAGCAAGCCACATACTTGCACAATGACAATTTTGCCCACACACCCAAATAGACTAAACGCCAAAAGAATGGCACTTTCGCATACTCATCCGAAATAAAGTAGGAATCGGGGAAATATGACGCACCCACCTGCCTAACAATTAAGTACGCAAGTCCAACTGACATTCGCTTGAGGCCGGCCTCGTTGCCACCTTCAAATTGCATAAATTCGCCCTCAATGAAACGCTGATAACGGCGATATGCAAATTGTGGACCAATTAGAAACGCACAAGGAAAATAAGCGAACGCAAATAGCTCAAGCACCGAGGGCATTGAGGCAATAGCATTTTCCTGCTGCTCTTTCGAAAGCTGTTCACGCTTTTTCAGCCCATCAGTAATGTCAAAACTGAAGCCGATCAAACGTAATACCAACACGCAATGTGGCATTGTCCAAAGAATATCATATTCATTGCTTTCGGTGAAGTAATAGCCCACGAGCAGATAAGACATGTGAAAGACGAAATTGATAATAATAAGCTCGCGCGGTGATGAACGGAGAAACCGTGCCAGCACATACGTGGTGGCTATAGCAATTAGAGAATGAGAGGTATCGCGTCCGAAATTAAACAGGCACAGCAGCAAGCCCCACACCAAAAAATATAAGTGATGCAACAGTTTGTTGGGTTGGTGAATGAGCACCTTCCGGTATACGTAAGCAATTCCATAGCCTGGAAAATAGTAGAATATAGGAAGTTATTTATTTTATTAAGTTAATATTTTTGTGTACAAGAACATTACCTGTAAAAATTGATAACAGTAAACGCAACGCAGCTTCCGTGGCACCAAATGTATGCGCTAACTTGCCAATCAACCCCAGCGCTGGGGCGTCACCAGCCTCCAAAGTCGACATGTTTTAATATTAAAGTGCAAATCACGCTACAATTACAAAACACAACGAAGATGTTGTAAAACAACATCAATGGGATTGTGGAGAGAAAATTATACAAAGTCATAAGCCATTAACTACATAGTTTATCACTTTATTTAATGCTTAACGAGCGTTTGTATGAAACGCAAAAAAATGAATCACTTTTAACACCGTAGAGTATGTATGTATGTATATTAATAAGCGCATAAAACTGGTGCAGTTGTATGTAAATTATATGTATGTATCTGAGTTAACAAATAGCAGCGTGACATAGAAACGCGATTGCGTTAGTTTAAAAAAGCGTTTAATATTAAATACTAAAATAACTAAGCTATGTATTACCGCCACGTTCAGCAGGACAATGAAAAGAAAAAGTGCAAGATGGGGCATTGGCAAATTGCCACAAAGGCAAAGTGCCAAGTAAAATCGACTAAGAAAGTCAATACGACATGGATGTGCTTCAACTTATCAAATTTAAAATTAAGCAACGCCATCGACAACGACAACAAAACCGACCCTATTGAGGCTGCACGCTTCTTAGGGCTGCCGTTAGTGGAACTTGACGGCAACGACTGAGATATTAACCGATCTGGGTGAGGTTGTAGTAGCCTCTACAACAACAACAACAAAAACGTAGGGCCACAACAACAGCCATCAAGTGGGGTGGAATACAACATACAGTAGGCAAGGCTGACTGATAACGCTTTCACTGATAAGGTGGTTTGTTTGGCAACTATGTTGTTTATATACATATGTACAAACAAACATATGTAAGAACGTTGTTTATTTTTTTATGACTTTGATAAGCCAAATTATAATTGTAGCTTTTAGCGTAAATTTTAATTAAACTTATCAAAAGAATGACGAGCAATATTTGCAGATAATAGAAGTCAGTGGTTGAAAAACAATTACGTGAATTCGAATTAATAGACTAAAAATAGATTTGACAAATTAGCGGTTAATCAAGGCAATAAACAATCGAATAAGTAATATGCGAAGCAAATATTTAGTTACTCTTGTAGATATAAATACGAAAGCTTGTTATTATTAGTTAAAAAGCTTGGCATTAAAACAACAAATAAGTTTTGCGTATTCTTAAAATTTTTTATAGCACCAGTGGCTTTAGGCACTACGTATTGATTATTCAAATCAAATGCATACTACTATTCATATATGTATGTATGTATGTATAAAACAATATTATACATTTTTTTAAGTTATTGCTTACCTTGACTTTGTTATGATTTTGGTCACCGTCCTCGCACCAAAGCGATACCAATTTGCGTTTCACTCCACCAGCTAGATAGGTTTGTATGAACGTGATTTTGTTTGCGTATCAATTTATTATTTAAAAGCTTTGAGCTGTTATCTACGCCTTTTACACTCGACTATTACAGCAATCAGAAAATTTTTCTTTTAATTACACACTATTTCAATTTAATATTGATTTTTAGCATTTTTTGCAGCCAAAATTTAAAAACCCAAATTCATGATTATCTAAAAACGAATACTGAAAAAACACAACGAATCCTATCAAATGAAAACAACAACAGTTTTCGCCCATGACACCTGTCAGTGCATTTATTTGTTTACTTCATTGTGAATGCTTTTTTTCTTTCAAGTGTTGGCAAACGATATGTGATTTCTTTAATTAAAATGGGTTTATTGCAGCCCGTCTTCATGTGCTGGAAAATCTCGCTTGCCTATACTTTCACAAGCTACAAAGGTTTTTTTTTGATATTACAGATTTAATAGTTACCGGCTTCTTCCAAGGCGAATCTATACAAGGTGGTGTTATCGGATCCGCTGATTTCAATGCGAATTTGTACCTTTTGTCAAAATGATTTTGTTCTGTACTGATTGTCAATGTGCGTATAATTTGTCATTGTATTTTTTTTTTTCTATTAATACCGTTGTATAAATTAGCCTTGGCTTCTTGTGTCAAATTGAAAATTTTCTCTGTAGTTCCACACACACTTTTAAGTAAAAATTTTACTAGCAGAAATTAGCAGGAGAGCCAAAAAAGAAGAGCGTAAGAAAGAGAGAGATGCTAGTTTCTGCTATTTCTTTGGGTTAAGAAACGCTTTCCAGCAGAATTTAGTAAGTGCTCATTTACACATGGCGATTTTTTTTGCCGCAACTCGACGTTTGTAGGAGAGAGCGTGACGAGGAAAGGAGAGGGGCACCGAGTTGCTCGTGCTCGGGCGGCACGCTTTGTGCTCTCGTTCGACTGTGTAAATTGAGTTAGCGGTTCACAGCTGACAACAAGAATTGCATACACAAAAATCGTCGTGTGTAAATGAAATGAGCAACATCAAAGGGAATGTGAAAAATCGCGTCGACAAAAGTTTCCATGTATAAACGCAGTCTAATAATTTGTGATAATTTTTTGTTAAGAAACAAAGCTAAAATCTGCTACTAAATCTATTGTGAACTCATGATCCAGAGAAAACAGAGAACGTCAATTATATGCTAAAAATTGGTAAATTAGTAAAAGGTATTGCAAATAATTAACAAAATAAAACACAATGAATGTGTATTCCAACGCAAAGTAATCGTGAGACAACTAAATACAGCGAATAGAAATAGGCAAAGAAAAACCAGGTCAAATACTATAAAAACAAAGGCAGGTCAACTTCGCAAGTTGAACCCCCAGCCCACTTAACTGACGTGTCAACAGGAAACTATTACAACAGCAAACCACCCCTTGCCATTTCAAAAAACTTGACATTTCCACACCATTCCCCAGCTTAAATCTGGCGCATTCCAGCAACAGCATGCGACGTAACAACTATCCCTACCAGCCACTTAACCAAACGTCAGGGCACAGTGCGCTGGCACCCGATGCGCTAGAGGAAGAGAATGAACGCGCGGCAGAAGAACTAAAACACAAGATCGGCGCACTCAAATCACTCACCATTGATATTGGAAACGAAGTGCGCTACCAGGACAAATTATTGCGTGGTATTGATGATGATATGGATCGAACGGGTGGCTTTTTGGGCAACACAATGGCGCGAGTGGTACGATTGGGGAAGCATAGTGGCGGCCGTCATATGTGCTACATGTTTCTCTTTATATTATTTGTATTTTTGATACTGTATGTTGTTATAAAAATCAAGTGAATATAGCGCTGTTTATGGAGGCAAAGTTGAGAATTTTAGTCAAGTATATTGGAGCTTGAAAACAAAAGTAAAAGTCATGAATGCGACCACTTAAAGTGAGCTGCCCAAAAGAGATCGTCATATAAATAGAATAAACTATTTTTGTAAACATAAAAAATATATATTTGTGATTTTTTTAATTGTAAATAAAATCTAAAAGAAGATAGCCTACAAACTAGTTATACATATTGTAAAAGAAGTTCCATTCAATCATCATTACACTGTACGAGTACTTAGCTTAATTGATTCGTCTCTCATAAGTGAGGATAGTTTTGTTTTTGTAAATATAAAAAAGGGTGGGCCACCTACAAAATATTTTTTTGGACGCCATTTGCGCTATATATTTCACGGTCATAGTGCACGCGTGAACTGAGAGTCTGTCAAGTTCTATGCTTGATAGGAAGTTTTCATCTTTTTGCTGCGTCGACTGAAATCTTGGTCATCACCATCAGAGCTATCAGCTGCCGTGGCTTGATACTCCTGATTCAGTTGCTGATATTCGTTGGGATCTATCACATAGCCTTTCTTTGCCTCTTCAAGCATGCGAACTGAAAGTCAAACATTTACTTTTTGGTAGGTGATCTCCATGATCCAATAATTATGAATTTATTATTGAATCATGGGTAATCTCTGAGGAGCTTATAATCTGATGTAATCTAATATGTTTCAATATACATATATTTCTTTCTTACTTTGGGCTTCCAATATTGCATTTTGCTTTTTTATATCCTCCACATCCTTTTGATTAGCTTGTATTTTTCGTCTCATTACTTGTATGCATTCCGTTGTCTTCTTCAGTATTTGTGCACGGCTAGCCTGTGGAAAATTGCACCGAAAATTTTCTAATTGCCCATTATTACTGGCAAATTACTGCAATTGATACATACCTTTTCACCCTTAAGTGTTGGCACAGCTTCGCGTAGACTGGTAAAACTTTCCTTTATATGATCACGTCTTTTACGCTCCAAAGCATTGTGATGTGCACGCTTTTCGGCCTGAAAATATACAAATGCTCATACATGTAGTTACTTCTCGTGATTTTTTTTTTATCTATCCTCTATACATTGCAAAATCAAGTCCCACTGGTGGGATGCGAGTAGGTCGATAAACCGCAACAACACCACTCACTCTCTGCTGCCGTTGCCCACCCTTCTCATATACATTCAACAGCACGCGCACGCCAACACAAAGTGTTACATAGCGACAGACACTCACCTGCGTGAAATTTTGTGTGCTTGCATGCCTTGAAGATTGCGCACCATTGTCTGAATCATTATCGTCCTATGATTAAGAAAATAAACAAATTAGTTATTGCACTAAATAATATAATTAAAATGTTTGTTTTGCTTCGCAATAGTTGTTGCTACTTTTATTTTTGATGCCGATGCTTCCTTACATCACTTTCAATGTCAATATCCCTTTCCTCATCGCTCATTTTCGTTTCTGCGTGCTCAAATTTCGGTAATTTTTATAAATATTTTCACTTTATAGCTTTTCCCACTGATTTCAATAAAATATTTTCTATATTTTTCAAGAAATATTCAATTTGCCTACGCAATTCTTATTTGGACTCCAAATTTTACACGCAAAAGCAAAAAAAGCACACATACATACAGGAAAACGTGCAAGTCAGAACATGGAGACAATGAATGATGTGATAATGAAGGCGGAATGCAGNAGCACACATACACACAGGAAAACGTGCGAGTCAGAACATGGAGACAATGAATGATGTGATAATGAAGGCGGAATGCAGAACTAAGAAAATTCGGGCTGCCACTTGGAACGAAGTAAATTAGTAGGGTGGTCAACGAAAAAGCGGCTGTAGTGGTTTCGTGTACGCAAATTCGAAACAAAATGCCAAGTTATGGGCAAGCATGTATTTTCTTCGGGAAATGTTTTACCTTAATTGGAGGCTGGTACAAAAACTTTTCAAACTTGAAGGTGTAAAGACCAAAGAATTTAATGATCTGTCTCTCTTCATCCTCCGACTACAGGGCTCCTTAGTGAAGCCTCTTCAAAATCATTACCCTCAACAGTGTTGCCAGGTCTTCGGCATGAGAAAACGTCCCTCTTGGACTGAAAAAACGTCATTTCCTACCCAAATGCGTCTTTTTAAAATGTATGCACACAGAATTGTTCTTATAAAACTTTTATTGTGTACAAAGGTACATAAGTATATATGTAAGGTATATTAAATTGTCATTTCGACAGAACATATTTAAAATTCATTGTAAACTGGTTTGAGATCGTTAATATAAATATAATTTTATACACACACTTTCATTATACAAAAACTGCAAAGTTTCAGCTAGATTTTTAACTTTTTATTCGAATTTTTAAGAATTTTTTGGGTATGCAGCTTGATAGCCCATTATTTTCCAGGGCAATAATGTGCAAGTTTTCAATTGCTAAAGAATCGTGTTGATTTTTAATATTTTTTTTCTCTTGTAGACATTTGGTTAGGTGGTCGGTTGTCGAAAAAGCTAAATTACGTTCTGCTAAGAAGGAAGATAGCAATATTTCAGCCTTTTTTGCATTTATTACATTTTCAATGAAGTCTTAAAAAAGTCGCCTACTTTTTTTTTACTTTTTATGCTGCTACAGTTTTTTTGTGCTTTTGCGAGCGTGCCTGTTGCAATAGATCAGCTCTTCCTGATTTGGCTTTTAATGTGCAATTGCAAACATTGCAATAAGCCTCGTAACCTCAAGTGTTTACAAAACCAGCCTTTGCACGCGGGATCCTTAGTCCAAGAATCCAAAAAAATGAGCGTACGCTTGGTTTGCATCATATTTAAGTCATTTGTGTACAAGAGATAAATATCTTTTGAAGAAGCTGCTACAAAAAACAAAGCTTGTTAAGATTTATTAAGAAAATAATTCAAAATCAATTCTACTTACAAGATTTAGTAACAGAGAAAAATTATTGGGAAGGTAAAAAACGTCATTTTTGCACAAAAAACGTCTGAACGTCAGCAAGATACAAAAAACGTCCAATTGACGTTAAAAACGTCAACCTGGCAACGCTGACCCTCAACCAAAATAATTTATAGTGCAATATTATAGGTGCATTCTTTTGCTACCCAGCTGCAAAAGAACACAACAACAGAACACTCGCTTAAATGACGAAATACACGCAAGCAACAACACAAACTCGGCTATTTATCCGAGCTCAACCAGGTCGGTTAAAAAATACGCGACCTGAAGGGTAGTGTTGTTAAGTGAAAATACTGCTCTAATGTGTTATGTTAACGGGAAAGGGGAGAGGGAAATTGTTATTTCCTTTTATACGCAGCTTATATTTTAATAAGTATACATATTATGCCATTATCTCGCTTAATTACTCATTTAGATTGGTTTTTGTATTTAAATCCCGTTAAACTAATAACATGTTTCTTTCCAGCTACCAACAGGGTTACCTAAGTAGCTAAATGGAAATTTTATCCGAGTTGGGCGTTCTTTTGTCGCTCGCTTATAAAAAAATGCAGAGCGTGCCGTTATCCATATTGCTTCTGGATGTCTCCTTCTTTTGTTGTTGTTGTTGTAGCAGCATACAAATTCCTGAAAGAGTTTTTGGGGAGTGTTGCTGGAGTGACAGTCCTTGGCCAGATATAAGTCTGGGTCGTTCCGGTTACGTAGACCCGACTGTCTTGGGAACGTTCCCTCCTTCTTTTGTCCTTGAATCCGCTTTAAGCCGAAGCAGAAATGGTAAACTAAAAGCAGCATAACACATTTCTGTCTTAACAGTAGGGCTGTTCAGGATGTTGTGCAAATGGTCTTGGATTTGATACACGNAATCGTATTTAAGTCATTTGTGTACAAGAGATAAATATCTTTTGAAGAAGCTGCTACAAAAAACAAAGCTTGTTAAGATTTATTAAGAAAATAATTCAAAATCAATTCTACTTACAAGATTTAGTAACAGAGAAAAATTATTGGGAAGGTAAAAAACGTCATTTTTGCACAAAAAACGTCTGAACGTCAGCAAGATACAAAAAACGTCCAATTGACGTTAAAAACGTCAACCTGGCAACGCTGACCCTCAACCAAAATAATTTATAGTGCAATATTATAGCATGAACGAAAGACACAAGATCACGCGGGACGGAAAGAACGAAAAAAGTTATTTTCTAGCTGCCGAAATCTCGACGCCATCTTTGCTGTAAGAA